GACTCCTCCATGCGGCGCCCCGCGGCGGGAGGGGCGCAGCGCCTCAGTGCTGGGCTTGTTTTCCTTCCTCTTCACTGCTGTGAGGCGGCAGCGGCCGCCGGCCGGCACCGCGGGCTTCCGGGACTCTCCCTGACGCCCGCAGAGCGGCGTCCGCAAGGCCGGGCCCGTGTCTGGCGGGCCCTGCGCGCAGCGCGGCGCCCCGCGGCGGGAGAAGAAAGAGTCTCAGGAAGTGGAAGTGTTTGTTACCAAGTAGCCGCCGTCGGGGCGGGGGAGGGGGAGCGGGGCGGCGACGGGGAGTCCGGCGAGCGCCAGGGCTGGGCTGGGGCGCCCGGAGGCTCCGCCGTGGTTTCCCCTACCTGTGGTGAGGATCGAGGAGATTGAGGCTCTGGGTAAAGGATCCTAACTTTTCACAGCCTTTAACCCAAACCTTGGGTGCACCTCCAAAGAATGGGGCGCTGAGGGGGGCTGCTGTGGCCTTTGCGGGGTGCGAGGCCCCCCGCGATCTTGAGTGGGAGACGGTCCCTCTCGGACCCAGCGGAGTTGTTTGACTTACGGTACCTTCCGTTTGTGGACTCACAGAAGGATCCGCGCATAGGGGTGCGGGCTGTGAACCTCGCTGGGACAGTGAGGGCTGGGCTAGGGAGGTGAGGGGGGGAGGCCGGCAGAGCCGGTAACGGAATTCCTTTGCACTGGGAAGGGAATGCTGACATTTTTCAATGGAGACTTGATTAGGGCTGTCAGAGAAGCCGCCGCGCTGGAGGCCGCAGCGCAGGCTGCTCAGGGTGGGGTGGCCGGGGGGCGTTAAAGAGGAGGGTCAGATGGTTCTGGCCGCTGGCCACACACAGTGCCCCCCGCGTGCGGAGACGCAGTCAGCGCGCTCTCCTCCCGCACCTCAAAGAAGCAGAGGGCAGGATGGACTTTCCAAAATACTGCTTTTAATTCTGCAAAACACACGCTAGCGTCCCAAGCAGCCGACGCGACTGGGTCGCCTGCAGCCTGCCTAGGGCCCCAGAAGAGCCCGGCAAGGTCAGCGCCTCCCCTCTCCTCCTGGGAGAGGCCGGAGAGCTTCCTTATCGGACTTAAGTTGGAGCTGCTGACTCTGCTCTGAGAGCAAATTTTTGCCTTGAAAGCAAACGCACTGGCCACAGAAATGCGCAGCGGATACCTTTCTTCCCGTCTCCTGCCCCAGCCCGAAGAGGTGGAATAAAAGTGCGTCTGGGACGGAGGTGGTGACCCGCCTTGTCGCCAGTCCACTTCCAGGTGCTGGGGGCCAGGGCTTTGGGAGGCGCGTGACCTTCGCTCCGCAGCGCGCAAAAGCCCGCTGCCCCACTCCCCACCCGGGTCTTGGGCACATGACCTTGTTTTCCACACATCCACCGGGCTACCTGAACCGGACAGCCTCCGGTGCCCTAACCTGGCAGGGGGGTGCGGCCAAGGTGTGGGCTATGCCCCCTCCACCTGCTCTCGACCGGGGCTCCTTTCTTCCTTTAGTCCTCTTTAGCCCACAGAGAATCGACTGCTCTCTCAAGAAGCCTGTGGGGCTGCATACCTGCCCAAGGTGGGACTGATTAGCTGTGACCTTAGGTAGCCAGGGACACAGGCAGAAAGGCAAATAAGACCAAGGATCCAGGGAGGAGGGGCTCCCCCAGGAATCTGAGGTCCAGAAAACAGGAACCAAGTGTTCCCAGGTAACCCAAAGTGCTCGCTCGCTGGGGGAAAAGGAGTTCGCAGCAACACTGCGACGCTTCACCCTCTACCCCCAGGGACCTGGGTGCCGCCCAGTCGGCTCCTCTTATCTTCCCGGAGGCTTTGTTCTGGCCCCAGCACACCTGGCCTCTTCTTGGGCACCCCTGGGAGCACACCTGCCCTCTGACTGGGCAACCCCTCCCCCAGGAGCTGGAGGTGAGGCAGGCTGGGCGAGCTTAGCCTCTTTCTCCTGCTGAGGAAAGGTGGTTGCTGCTGCCCTGTGGCCCCAGAAGTGCATTTACGCCCCCTGGTGCTGAACTGGCACATACCACCCAGGCCAAGCCTTCCAGGGAGGCCCCGCCCCCTAAATCCTAGTTCTGGAAGGTAAGAGGGCCACAGGTCAGCTGCGGAATACCTTGACTTTCTGGTGCTTTTTTCTTGGGTATTAAATTATGTATCATTAAAATGAAATATACATATTTTACCCTCCCCCCAGGAGGCAGGGAAGCTACAGGAACTGAAGCAGAGATGAGAGAGTGCCCTGGGCACTGGGGTCCCCCAACTATCTCCCTCAGCTGCTCAGAGGAAACCAGGTCTGCGGGAGGAGGCGGCATCGTCGAGGCCTCTGGGGTCTCCGCTCAGTGCCCCGGGGTTCAGGCGAAGGAGCAGCAGCTGGGCCGCTTCTTCTGGGACTCCACGTAGTCTCGGATCTGGAAGCTGGGCTCGTCGGCCTGCCGGCTGGCCCTGTACCGCAGCTCCCTTGAGGAGAAGCCGGGGCGAGCAGGAGGTGAGCCCTGAGCACCCGCCCGCCGAGCCCCCAGCAAACGGCCCTCGGAAGGCCGAGGAGTCGGGTCCCGGGGCTGGCCCCCACTGTGCCCCAGTGCCACCCTGCCCTCCGCCGTCCCGTTCCCGCTCAGGCCTCACTTGGCAATGGCCAGAAATGCGAGCTCCACATTCAGGCCCGTCTTGGCGCTGGTCTCCAGGAAGGGCACTCCGTACTCCTGCCGGGGAGAGGTGTCCTCAGGTCCTGCCTCTCGCTGCCCCCACCCCGTGTCCGGCCATGGGCGGTCACTTACCCTGGCCAGTGTCTCTCCATCCTCCGAGCGGATCACCCTCTCACTGCTGACATCCGCCTGTCAAGCCCAGGTGGATCACTCTGGGGTAGGAAGCCCTGACCCCGGCTGGCCCCTTTCCTGCCCCCACAGCGGTCTTTTGCCCCAGGAACAGGCACCATCTGCCCCCTGCTGGTGGACTGTGGCACTGAGGGGAGCGAGCGCACGCCCAGGGTTTCTGCTTTGTTCAGGCTGAACTCCCCAGCTCCCAGCCCGTAGGAAGGGGTCTCTCTCCTTGGCCAGGGTGTTGGGGCCCAGCCTCAGAGGGCTGCCGGCTGTTGGGCTAACCCTAGGGCTAACCCTTGCCAGCCTTATCCCTTCCTCTGTGCCCCTAGTGGGTCTAGTGGGTGCTCAGTGGCTGGGCATCCCTGCTCTGGGAGCAGCTGCAGCTTCCCTTGGAGGAACTACCCCGCAGCAGTGAGAGGGCTGACAAGACCGGCTGGAAGCCTCCAGACAGGTCTGGCTTTGAACTGGACCCTGGAGCGTGTCCTCTGCACGAAGGATGTCCAGCTAGCCCTCTCGGGGGTTGGTGCTGGGTGGAGCCGAGGCTGTGCCAGTGGGAGAGGAGGGGTGTGTGGGGGTGGCCTTGCCAGGGAGCCACTCACCTTGTTGCCCAGCAGCATGATCACCACGTCCCTCTGAGCATACTCGTGAATCTCGGTGAGCCAGGCCTGTGGGAGACGCACGGTGAGTGGGCCAAGGCTGAGGGCCGGCTTTCTCCAGCTCCCTCCCGTCCCTCTCTTTCTGCCTATAGGGACTACTCACTGCCCCCAGACATGATGCCCCGCACAACTTCTCCTCAGCATCTTTGTTCTGGCCTCTCCAGCACTGAGTGGTGTTCCCCCCAACCCCGGGCCAGCTCTCAGGTCCAGGGAAACTAAGGTGGCAGAGGCATTATCTCACAAATCTGCTGGCTACCAGTGATTTTCCAGGGTGTGCGGTTGGAAGCCTGGAAGCCCCTTGATCCAAACCCCTGTGATTGATAAGTGATGTCTGTTATGAACAAGGGGTGGGAGGGGAGAGTGTGAGAGCTGTGGGGCTCCATCCAGTTTATGAGCTGTTTAATAGCTCTCTATCTTGTTCCCCCAGTTCGCTTGTCATCTCTGTGAGGTCGTGGCAATCACGAAGCACGTGAGACCTTATATTGCTGTGCACGGTAGTGCGGGTATTTGTTGAATTCTTATCTCTGCTCTCTAAGACTTTAGTGGTGGGGACAGAGTCACCCAGAGACCTGAGTCACTTTTTTCCAGCCTGGACTTTTCAGCCTGGACGCTGTGGATAATTGTCCAGGGTGGAGCTGGGGACTTCTGAACATTGTGTCATGAAACACACTCATGAATCATAGTCAGGGTTATGCAGTGGCTTGGGCACAAGCAGCCTCCTCGATCTCTGTGACAATCAAATACCCAGTAGGCAGGGGCTGATTACTTCTGAGTCACGACTCAGAGTGTTTTGTAGAAATCAGCAGTGTTCCATGCCCCACCCCTTCCCAGGAGGCAGTGACACCTGCCTAGACCCTGCGCGGGCCCCTCAAAGGTCCCGGGAGGGAGCCCCTACCCTGATGTTGTCGAAGGAAGACTGGTTGGTGATGTCGTACAGCAGGAGCAGGGCTGGAGAGGGACAGAGAGAGCGGTGAGTGGGGGTCCTGGGGGAGGTGGACGCTGCCAGGGGCTGGGTGCATGAGGGACTTACCCTGGGCGTCGCGATAATAAGCGTGGGTGACGCTACGGAACCGCTCCTGCCCGGCGGTGTCCCAGATCTGGGAAGGGACAGACAAACGTGGGCGCTCCTGGCGGCGACGGGCCAAAGCAGCGGCCGCAGCCCCTGCAGCACGAGGTCGATCCCAGCCAGGAGGTGACCCACAGAGCACAGCAGGCCTCTCCTGTCCCCCCTGCTCCCCTCGGGGCATTTCAGTCCATCTGCTTCTGCTGCTCCCCACCCTGTCTCTGGTGGCTCCTCTCACCCCCTGCACCTCTGGCCTGTGCCCCTGTTCTTGTGTGCACAAATAAATAGATCTTAAAAAGAAAAAAAAGAGAGAGACAAACATGGGGTGCTGGGCAGAGGAAACCATGGGTGTGGGAGAGGCGTGGGGAGGTTGCTCTGCTTCCTCTGCCAGGTTCTCGTGGCCTCTGTGTGCAGCTGAGCACTTGGGGGCGGCAGTTACTGAGTCCTCAAGCTGCCTCAGAGCCTCCTCCTCCAGCGGCCCAGGGGTGGGTGTCCAGCCTCCAGGGGCAGAGGGGGCGGGGAAGCTGGGGAGGACATGGAGCGGCCTCAGCTGAGCTGCCTTGGGTAGCAGGCGGAGGGACTGTTTATTTTCTGCAATCCTCAAACAAACAAGAGCCATTTCCTCTGGTGGGCCCCACAGGAAGCTGCCCAGGGCGGGTGGGGGGCAGGCTGCGGCCTCTGTGCGGCCTCTGTGCTCAGGTGCAGCGGGGCTCCTCCACCTGCCCCTCCTCCCCCAGGTCTCGGGGCTCACCTGCAGCTTCACCCTCACTCCATCCACAGTCACCACCTTGTTCTGGAAGAAAAAAGGGCAGAGGGAGAGGTGGGCACGGAGGGCGGGTCGCGTGTGAGGCTCCAGTGCTCTGCTGACATCCTACCGGCAGGCAGCCAGCACCTGACCGGCCACTCTCGGGGCGAGAGGGCATGTGGGGAGCCCCAGAGACGTCTCCAGCCAGCTCACCCAGCAGAGCCCGCCGGCAGACACCAGCACTGCACTAGCCCGCACCTTGGGATTCCGCTGCTCTCAGACATGCGGGCAGGGGTGGGCTGGTGAGCTCTCCCCAGGGCTCCGTGGGTGGCACACGGCTGGACACTGCGGGGCTCTGCCCCCTTCCCACCTCCGCCGGCCTCTCAGCGCTCAGCTCAGCCCCATCAGTGACGAGCCCGTGGAGCAGAAACACCCACTGGCTTCTGGGCCCCCCACCGGCTGGGCCTGCAGGGTCACCTCCTGTCCACCTGAAGGGACCTGCTGAGGTTCATCTTCTCTCCTGCCCCTGGGCTGGGCGGGGCTGGCTTCTCTGGTCAGACTGGCAAGGGGGGCCTCGTGGAGGTGAGGGAGAGGGGCCCTGGCCCACACGGCCAGGCTGTCTACCCCTAGTGCAGAGCTGTGCTGCCCGGACTCCAGGGAGCCGGGCGACCTTGAGGCCTGGTCACAGGGCCCAGCGCAGAGGGCAGCGAGCAAGGGGACGTGTTTGCCTGGCTCAGGGGCAGCCTGCTGCCCCAGGAGAGCAGCACAGGGAGACCCGGTGTCTTACTCGCTTTTGCCATGGGTGGGCAAAAGGAGTCCTCTGTGTCCAGAGTCCTAACCGGCCACCTCTGTGGTCCCCGGGCGCAGCCTGGTGCCCTCTGGCAGTGAGCCACAGCAGCGCTGCCAGCGGGCAGGCAAGGGGAGGGCAGCTCTCCGGTGCCCGGGCCCCGGCCCTGGAGGAGGAGCCTGCAGCCGCCTCACCCTGAAGTCTATGCCGACCGTGGCTATGAAGGTCCCGGACAGGAAGGCCCCGTCTTTGAATTGGATCAGGAAACAGGTTTTGCCGACGCCTGAGTCTCCCAGAAGCATGACCTAGGAGACGGGGCAGAGGCAGTTAGTGGGGAGCTGGGCTGAGTGTCTGGGACTCCCGGGAGTGGGCTCTGGAAAGAGGGGCCGGGGTCAGGGCCACCGTGCTGCCTGCACCCTGCCTCTCCGCCCCTCCGCTCAGCTCACCTGGCAAGTTGTTCCTCGGGTCCTCACCCAGCTTCCTGGAAGCCTGCATGGAGACCTCCCCGCAACAGGTCCCCAAATGCTTGGTGGCCCCAGGGAACCAGGACATTAAGGTGGCCTAGACTGCAGCCATGATGCCCCGCCCACTCTGTACCCGGGGCAGGGCCAGACCCTCAGCAAGGGAAGTGCTAACACCTGGGCAGGGCTTCCCACCTGGGGTGTTACTTGGATGAGGGGGGAGGGCCTTTGCAAAGGCACATTGTAAAATTACAGTGATTCATGGGGGGGAGTCACAGCATTTATTGGGAATTCTCTAATGACATTTTATGTTTACCAAGGTTGCATGAAGTTGATACTAGAGTGGGGAGCTGTTTAGTCTGAAGTCCTTGGAGCAGAAACCCCCCAAGGGCGACAAATGGCTGGGTCAATGTAGGTGTGTGTGTGGGGGAGATTGGAGGGGGGCAGGAGGGTGTGCCCTCCCGACTTCTGTCTGCCAGCCTCTGCTCATCCTTCTTGGGGCGAGTCTGTCTAGTCATTTCTCAATCTTCAAGAACAGGGGTCCAGACCCAGGGCTGGATTGCCCCACGGGCTGGCTATGTACTAATAATTGGTCAGCAGACACTGGGTTGGACTTAATTTTGCTAATCCTGCGTGGCGTGGGTATTGGGATGAATCAGCCAGCGTTGGTGGAGAGGTGGGGTGCTGAGCAAAGGTGAACGCAGCGGGGTTCCTGATGTGTGAGTGGCCCCCTGGGGGACTTGGGGAAGATTCCGTAACCTTTTTGCAGCTTGGGAGGAAGAGTAGTTTCTTGGAGGTCTTCCTGGAGTCTGTTACCGATTGGAAACGAAGTGTTCCAGGAGCTCCCCAAGACCCAGGAGTGTGGCCCCTGTCCCGCTAAGCCAGCCCGGGCTCCTGCCAGTCTGCCCTGGGCAGGCGGGGGGCACACAGGCTGCTGGAGGCCGGGAGCCCACAGTGGGCAGCTGCTGCCTGGTCCAGGCAGGACCCCGAGGACCCAGGGCTTGGGGATGCTTCTGCGCTGCTCCCTGGCTCCTGGGTCCCAGCACCCCAGGGGGCAGGAGAGAGGACGGGTAAGCACCTGTGTACTTTACAGATCACAGCTGCCCTGAGCAAACGATGCCAGTCACCCACCCAGCCACACAATCCCACCAAACACAAACAACTGCCCAGACTCACCCGCCTCCTAGACAAACACCCAGCTGGCTTGTCTGGCAGGGAGGTCAGGCCCTCCCCAGCCTGGGGGCCGGCCTCCAGCGTCCCCCTCCGCCCCTGAAGAGGGGGGCCCATTTCCTGCCTCCAGCCCACACATCAGCCTATCTCAAACGGTGGTGACTTGCAAAGTGGCTTCCCCTGAAACAAGGGGTGGGGGTGGAGGCCCCAAGTTCCTGTCAAAAGTGAACAGCTGAACTGAAAGAGGCAGGGCTCCTTCAAGGTCATGCAGCTTGAGGCAGGACAACCCCTCACTGAGCCACCCCTGGGTCTACAGAGCAAGATCTACAGGCTCCGAGGGTGTGTCCTCTGACTCTGGCTGCTCCCAGGACACGGGTGGGGGGCCGTGAACACTCCCGCTTCCTCCAGGACACCCCTGCAGCGGGAACAAGCTGAGAGCTGACTTAAGCTCTGGGAGCGGGGAAGTGGGGTTGTGATGAACCTGAGATATTTCTCAGGTTCTAAAAATTCCCAGGTAGGTCTCCCTCCTGGGAGAAGGCGCCAGGCAGCTGCTGCAGGGGGAGGGAGGGAAGGGGTGGGACTTGGGGGAGGCGCTGTGGAACTGCAGTTTTCTTCCTGAGAAACTGGATGCCAGGTCTCCGAGGGGAGCTTGAGGGAAAAGGGCAGAAAGGGCCAGTTGCCCCGCCGCCAGGGGGCGTCCTCTGGGAGCCGCCAAGCTGTTCTATTTCCCAGCACTTGATGCCTCTGCCTGGGCGCCTGTCCCCTTGCCCCCCCCCCGCCCCCCAGAGAAGCCTGGGTCCCAAGGACGCACTGGCCACGCGTGGCGGCGGAAAACTGGGTTGGAGAGTCACTCTGTCCTCCAGACTTTCCGGGGCGCCCCTACCCCTAGCGGTTGGCAGAGGCCCAGGGCGGTCTGGACCCTCCTTCCCTACTCCGGGAGTCCAGCTGCCTAGGGGGGAGGGCTGAGCCCCGCAGACGCGGGCTGAAAGGGGCTCCGACCCGACCCGAGCGGGAGGGGCAGAGCGCCCGAGAGCGGCACGGAGCCCCGAGTGCAGGGGCAGCGCCCACCAACCTTGCCCGTGAGGTCGAAGCTCGGACTCCAGGGCGGGGAGCGCTCCGGGGCCTCGCCGTTCCGGGCGGCGGCGGCGCCTGGCGTGCCGGTCATGTCCCCGACGAGAGGTGAGCTGGGCCGGCGAGCGAGGGACCGCGCAGGACGGCCCCGCCTTCGGCTCCACCCACTCTTGCCCCGCTAGGCCGTCGCGCCGGGACCCCGACAGGCTCCTCCCCGCGGCCGCTAGACGACAGCGGCCCAGAGCCGGCCGTGCCCCCAGGGCGCACAGGACACAGGACAGCACCCGCGGGCCCTTGGGTGCCTTGGGCAACACTGACCGGGTCGTGCTCTGAGGGCATGGGCCAAAGCCAGTCCCAGCACCGGTCCTTAATCTAACCCGGCCTCGG